CTGCCACTCAGACAAGGATGGGCGTTCATTGTGGGAGCCACATGCTTTCTCACTCATCTCATTGCAAAATCTGACCTGCGTTTGGCATGCTGCTCCGCTGCACTTTATCGGTTTAAATACACTTTGGTATGCTGCACCATTGTGCTCACCTCTGTGCAATTACACTGCTTGCACCGAGTTCCAAGAGATACCTTGTACAATTGTTTATCTCCAGGTAGAGTGTTTTGTCCCATCCCAGCATCCAGGTATGAAATGAATAAGATTATAGCATGTTTTGTAAAGTGCGTAGTGGGTGTGTGTAAAAGCACCGGCAGTAAAATCAGACATTCACAGGAGGGGATTAGGGTCCATTTCCAGCTTTAAAGCAAACTTCTTACCTTTCTTCTGCCTAGGTGCATAATTTCAGTGGTTTCCTCATAACTGTCTGGAGCAGCATTGCCTAGAGACTAAAACAAAACGCCTTTCAACCCCACCCCAAAGACTTCTGAAATGTATGCAGGCAGGGACACACCTCTGTGCTTGGGATCCCACACAGTTCTGGAGTGATCAAGCCTCAGCACCTGTGACCTGGGGACATTTAAAACCAGTTTTAATGCAGAAACTGGTTCTTACCAGGAGACATATTTGACATGTGGAATACCTGCTACTGCTTCCCAAGACTTGAAGGCCTACTGATGCAGTAAATGCAATCACAGAAATTGGTGGATTTCTTTTGCCAAGTTTTCTGTTTCTGAGGAAATGTTTGTTTGATTTTGTTTGTTTGTTTAGAAATAATTTTCCATCCAGATATGTTGTGATGCAATAGGAATTGCTCAAATGTGAAGCCTCTTAGCAGTTGCTGTGTTGCCAAAAACACTAACAAAAGGCACTGGCTCGCTGTGTGCATGCCTGGTAGGTTTTGTGGTTGATAATTCTAGCCAACCAGTGTATACATCTGTTAATAACATCTCTTCTTAAGGCTACTTTATTAAAAAAACCCAAACCAAGTAAAAATTAACATTTCCCCCACAGAGCTGCTTCTCCAGAGGACTGTTGAAGTATCACTGGGCTGGAGAAGATTAAAACACTTTTTTTTTTTCTTTTCTTTTTTCTTTCTACTCTCAGCTGGATAAAACTGTTCCATAAGAAATATCTTGTCAGACAGCTGTCTACCTCATGGTAGGCATGAAAAATTCAACTTTATTTTATTTGTTTATTTAAAGTTAAACAGAACAGATGTATAAAGTTTGGTGTTGTTTTTTTTTATTTATTATTCTTCTGCTTCTTCCTGCTCAAAGGCACTTACTCCCCAGAGCTGAGCTGTGACCTGGCGTGCCAGGACTCCTGATGGGGTGACCGCCTGCTGAGCAGAGACCTGGCATGGCAGCCTGCCCTGGCTGGTGCTCCCTGGAGACTCACCTGTCTCCGCAGCCACTTCCTCTGCTTCTCCAGTCCTTTGGTTTTTGGGCACACTTCTTACATGAGCTGGTGTCAGGAGTCCGGAAGACCTCCCTGGGGTGCTGGATCCCTGCCTTTTCCTGTATAGAAACAGTCAATAAATTGCCCTGGAAAGGATGATCATTACCTGGCCAGCCCTGTTGCCCGATTCAGTAGATCAGGAACCAACACAGGGCTAGATTTTTCTGATTATTCTGATAATTCAGTAACGTTTCTCAAATAATAGAGCAACTTTCTGTGCTGCAGATAGTGCCGGATAAATATGGAAATGTGAGCCTACATATGGAAAACCGAAGGAAGGGCTTTAAAATACCAGGTTTATGATAGGATTTCTGGTACTTTGCTGACACAGATTTCAGCATCACTGGCAGTTTATCAAACTGATCTGGGCTGGCTAATAAGATTTCCAATAAGGTGATAAAGACGCTTTGTGTTTGCCTTGCATTATAAAAGCAGCTACAGTGCTTCAGCAGTAGTTCAGACATTTTACACCTTTATCCCTTGACCTCTTTTTAGTTACTGTGACTGCAATAGTGATGTAAGAAGCTAGGTAGAGTTATAATGGTAAGTCTGACTGATAAAGAGATGAATCAACATGAATAGAATTACCTCTAGTCCAGCATGATGCTGTGGAAAATAAGTTTTTGTAAGCAAACGTGATTTTGTTTTACAACTACGAACTCAGCCTCATAAGAGGGATGACATATGACAGCACAGATCTCCTGGCAGAAGAAATAAAGAAGGAATTGTTAGCACTCACCCTCTGTCCACCTAATGGCTGCATTAGTGTTACTTGTTACTGACACATTCATACAAGTTTTCCGGTCTCAACTGAAAGACATTTTTCTTATCTTCTTCTTTCCAATTTAAGGGCAGACTTTTTTGTGCAACAGATATGAAAGTGTAGTCTGACAGTTTATATGCAATCTTATACAAAAATAGCAAACTGCTTTTATTGACTTATGACAGCTATTGGGGTGAATGCTGCAAAGAAGTAGACTTTCCAGTCCAGCAAGTGAAAGGAGAGAAGGAGGTCTCTGCATGCTGGAAACGTGAGTTCAAGCACCAAGTCAGCTACAGCCTTGTGTGATACACTGCTTATGCTTATAGGTTTCCCAAGTTTTTCAGTTATAAAATAGCTCTAACCAGCACTTACTGGAATCACAGGAAAACAAATTAGTGTTTTAATACTAAATTGTTAGGACCTAGTTTGGGCAAGTTAGAAGGTCAGCCTAAATCTCTCTTGTTATAAGAGCATCTTTCTCTACACAGCATTTCCTGTGAAGTCTAAAATGGGAGATGTGCTCTTTCCTAACATAGTACTTGAGTTTGTGGTTAATGGTAAGGTCATGACTAGTTCCCAAGGACTTGTGTTCTGCAGCATGGGGTGCTGGTTCAAAAACACTGCTTATGCTTATTAGCAGTGCTGGTAACATGTGAAGTGTTGGAAGGTAATTGTACAAATTGACATGTTGTCACATAAGTGTGTCTTGAAAGATGAAGGAGACAGAGGCTACTGGTGTGTGGCTTGTAATTCCCTGGGCTGCCAGATGCAGAGGAGATCACCTCAAGGAACATGTGGGGTGCCTTTTATAATCCTCAAATGGGGACCAGTTTGCAATGATTTCATCCCGTATCATCCAATGAATGTGGTGAAGATCCTAATACCACATCACACATTGAGAGGAAAAGTTCCAAGAGCCTAGCTAACTGCTGGGGGGGGGGGGGGGGGGGGGGTCTTCTCCCTGTGGAGTTGGGCTGTACTCAATTATTCTTTAGAGCAGTTTCTCTTGCCCTGGAAAAGAGAGAGGTTAGAGAGATTACCCTCATGGGGTAATGTGAAATTCTGTGCATATTCGCTACAAATATGAAAAGGATTCACTTTGCAATTTGGAAAAACAATAAAGTTTCTTTGACACAGCACAAGGGGCTATTGAAAAAAAATGTTTAGAGTCAGGGTTGTTGAAGTGGAAAAAGGGAATGCATTTTTGAGCAAAAGAGATATTTCAGCTCTCGCAGGTGAAAAGATTTAAATAATGAATTTGGCTACAGGATGGATGGACTCAGACTACTAAGTAACATCACATGTTCTCTCTCAGGGCTTTCCATCTGTGGTTTACCAGCCATGCCACAACGAAAGCCTTTCGCTTTTCTGTGAAAGTAGTCCCTTTCTTAGAGCCTTCCCACAAAGCTGCATCAGGCGGTGCTTTCCTGTGCATGCGTCTAAGTTGCTTGGGATGTAGCTTATGTGAGCTGCTAACAAAGGGAAACAGAGGGTTGCTGCTGCCCAAGAGCAGCACTAACCTGGGACAGTGCAATGAGCTGGTTTCAGTTCTGGAAATGGGAAGGTGTGTTGCACCTTTACTCTGTATCTTTGCATTGTTAAGTTGGCTGAAAAAAGGATGTATCAGCCTAGGCTTAGTGCTGCCTTCAGGCTACCGCATGGTTTTCGTTGAGTTTGTGCAAGGTATTTTGTTGGGCGAGCCAAAATAGAGCAAAGATTGTCAAGTCTGTGCATTGCATTGGTGTCTGCTTATCTGAGGGCTTTGGAAAGGAGTGCTTGTATGTCCTGAGGATTGTGGCTCAAAGTAAAACTGCCGCTTTGGTTGGGGACAATGGTTTGGAGTGAGTTGGTTTTGTGTACTGATAGACTTAGTCAAACATCCAGAAGAAAGAATGGATTTTATTTAAAATACAAACATGGTATGTGATGACAAAAACTCTGTTACTACAAAATTCTTAAGTCCTCTGAATGGTAACAAACTGGCACTTAGGATTTACTTGCCTCTAAAAATAGCTGGAAACGTAAACCAATGGAAAGTATGGGTTTTGCAAGAGGAGACTGTTGCATTTAGATGTATTCACTACGTACCGTGAAGCATCCCAGAAGTAAGAAAATCCAACCAGTCTAAATTAGCTTAATAACGTACTGCAAAGTGACTGCTAGGTCATTTCTGGGATCTCTAAACTGTTACAGCTTCTTGCAGTGGCAGAACATGTAGATGGAAAACTGTTTTTAGAAAAGGCTTCTGTCAGTTACAGCAGCACTAGAGAGGCTGTGCAAAACAACTTCATGTGATAGATAGCAAGGAAATGTCTGCAGGACTTCTAACTGAACCACTAGGAAATGGTTACCCTTCACATCCGCACAGATGTTGTTCACATTTTTACAGTGTCTGCAAGCTTGCATGGTTTCTTCAAGCAAATTCCCTTTAGGGTTCACTGAAGATAGATATAGACTCAGAAAATATCTAACATGTGGATATGAGAGAAGACAAGAAAAGGCTGACGTTCAAAGTAATTTATGGCACCTCAGTAATCTTATTTGAAAATGCCCTGCTTGATAGGGTATGTTACAGTTGTAGATTGGAAGGCAACAGATGACAAAAGTCAAATTAATAAATAAAACAGAGTATTTTTCACAGACACTGAAGATTAGAAAATGTGATATACTTTTTTTGACATTAATAGATAAAATGTCTTTAAAAAAACCACAGTTGTACACAGTTACAACCTAAATAGGAGATGGGAGCTTAATTATTTAATTGCAGCTTGTTTTTGTTTTTTTTTTTTTTTAAAACCAATTTCTCTATCCTGTTCAAACTGGTAAGCTCTCACTTGATGAAATTTAAGCTAAACTGCCCCTTCTCTTAAATGCCATGAAGGCTGATCCTGTGCAGCCCTCCCACAAGATACTGGCACAGTGGTGGTGCACAGCTACCCAACTCAGAGCCTCCTTGTGGGGTAGTGCTTCAACAAGAGCTAACTGTACTATTTCCAAATGGTTCTGGATTCCTCATGATGGGACAACAGGACAACAAAATTTATTTTCACTTGGTTGGGATTTGAAAGCTGATGTTGATATAAAAAAAAAAAAAAAAATCAATGTCCTATCTCACAGTTGACAGTGGAGTGCCTCCCCTACACAGAGCTAGGACAAACAAGGCTGTGACTTATTCACAAAAAAGGTAGAATTTTAGTCTAGCAACTGGTGCAGGAGAAGCAAAGTGTTTCCAGGGCTCAGTTTAAAATCATCATCTCTATCCCACTGTGACAAGATGGGGAAACTGCCCCATTTAGGCAAGAGAGCTAGTATAGATTCCTCCTCCTTCAAAACCTCATACCATCAGCAAAGTTTACTGCTTTGCTATTTTCAACCAGTTTTTCGTGGCTGACTTGGGGTTGAAACAGCAAGGCATGTGCACTGGCACAAGGAAACTGCAGTTCTTGGCTTTCTGAACATTCATGGACAAGACAGTGGTACAGTCTGCACTCTTTTTTTCTCTTCCCCCCTGCTCCCCTCTTTTAGGTGGAGGGAGGGGACACAAGGAGAGGTTCAGTCTAAAAATTTCAGTTGAAAATCCTCCCTGGAAGCCACAGGGGAGTGCTTAAATAACGATCAGCTACCAGTTTGATCAAGCAGAGCTTGACCACAGTTTTTGTTCCATCCTGAAAAGGGTAAGTCCAGGTAACCCTACATTAATGTAGCCGAGAGCACTATTTTTAATTAGTCAGATTTCCACAGCCTGTTCTTTCACACAGTACGCACCGGCTTCTGTTAAAAGTGGAAGTCCCCTTTTCGGTGGAATATTTGGTAAAAAACAAAACATTGATATCAAATGCATTTAAAGAACACACATTCCCTTATGTTAACACATAACCCTATCAGAGTAATTCCTATTTTTGAAGGACTGGGTCAAAGTGTTCTACCTAGTTTTGTACACAATAACATGCTGCTGGTGAAACCAGACATTGCAAGGATGTACTGTAGAGAGAAAGGTGGAAAGGGTCACAAATCTCAATTTGCTGAGAGTCCTTCAGTTTTCTTTCTTTAGCTGCCTTTCTTCACATTCAGTAGCTACTGTCAGGGTAAGGAGACACAGCAAGAACTTTCCATGCTCCTGAAATGCAGCTGCTTCTGCTACTAAGTACTCAAAGGAGAGACCAGGCACTCACCAGCTTTCAGTGGTCTGGCACAGAGTAGCTAAGTCCCAGACTGCTTTCCCCAGTGCAGGAGCTCAAAACATTGACAGACATAACAGAGGACTGTCCAAAGTAGTTAGCTGGTGTGGTGACACAAGTGTTCTGTGGACACAGCCAGCAGTTGGAACAGAAATCCAGTGGATTTTGCTGTCTCTTGTGTTGGAGAAGCTTTTTTTTTGCCATCTCTCTTGGCACACTCTGAAGAAATCTGTCATTTGTATTACAAACAATGCTGCCACTGAGATAGGGGTAGATGCTTCTCCTGATGCATCTTCAGCTGCCCAAATTGTTGGCAGACTTTCCATTTAGACAGGTGCTGTAAAAACAAAACAACTTTTAGAAAAGAAACAAAAAAAATCCCCCATCAATAATCATGTCCTAGAGTTGTTTTTCCTATGTAACCAGTGGAACAAGCTGAAAAGCTATTGAAAAGATGTATTCATGCTGCTGAGAGAGAATCAGCTGGGGTGAAGCCCTGCCTCTGCCTGGATACCTGAGACAGTGGGGGGCCCTCTGCTCTTACTGCCACAGACTGAAAGTGCCTCTCTGTGTGAATGCAAAAAGTGCTCTCCTGCTAACATTCCCCTCCCTTCTGAAGGGATGTCAGTGTCACCTTTGGCTAATTTTAAACTACTTCAGGGAACAAGATGCACAAAGTCTATCTATGGTCAAAGGAAACCAGCTTCCTGAGGCTTTTCTGCAGGCAGTGAAGGGGTACCCCCAGAGAGCAACTCAGAATTGCTTCAGCTCTGAATTTCTCCTCACGTAGAGCATCCTGCCCCACCAACTGTAATGGGTGTCTGGAGAGACCAACCCCACCTAGGATGAAGTTGTTATTCTTTGCAACTTGCCTTCCCTGCAGTTTCCAAAACTTTTTTCTTTGTAACAGCAAAGCTAGTCCTAGTAGGCTCTTTTTTGGTTTGCAGTATTCAGGTTTCCCTGAATGAAACAATCTGACTTTCTTCATAAAGTGAAACTGCTAAAAGCAGAAACATACATCAGTATTGATAAGCAAAATGCCGTGGCAGGCTGTCCTCATGGGTGCACCTCTGCAGTGCCTTACTCCCCGTCTACCACACGCAACTTGCTTGAAAATATCAATTGACTGGATCAGGCTAAAGCCCATCTTCTGCCCCAAGGTAGTACCAGATATTTCTAAATCATTTCTGACCAATACTGGTTTACTCTTCCATTAACAAAAAAACAGAAGAGCTGCAAACCTGGACTGATGGAGACTTGACAGCCTGCACAAACTCTCTGCCTCAGTGCTCAACTACAGTTACCCTTAAAAAGGCATTTTTTCCTTAAATCTCCTTTGTTTAAGCCTGTTGTGCCTTAAGTGCTGTGTCTGCTGGGTTAGGAAAATATACAACTTATCCCATCCTCTTTAAGGACCCTCTGAAGAGGGTTGTTATTGTGTCCTTAATTAGCCTTGCCTTTTCCAGTCTAAACAAACGTAACCAATCTGTCATCAAGAGATCACATTCCCTAGATCATTCTCATTTCTCTGGTATTGGTTCAAGTTGCCTTCAAATTGGGATGGCCTTCTATGCCTTAATGGCTCTGCTGGCAGAAAACAGTCTTCAGAGGTGGGACAATTTCTGATAGCAGCGACCCACCCAAGCTGCTGTCCTGTCCCACCTTGTCTTTCACAAATGGTGTAGAGGCATGCCAAGGAAAAGATGCTGTCTGGAAAGCAAGTGTCTTTGTTTTGTTATTAATGAACAAATTGTGCTACAGCAGCCTTCAATATAAAATAAATATTTACTCCTATTTAAGTTACAGAGGTTTTTCAACGTAGGACCTAAGTACAAGGATCTAATCAAACAGGGTTTGGTGTAAGTAAGTCCAGAGAAGAAAAAGTTGACCTTAAATGAACTGCTTGTGTTATGTTAATGCAGCTCACAGGAATGGAAGGAGAAAATGTCTCTATCTTAAGGAGAAAATCCATCCTCTCTGCTGCATTATACTCTACAGGAAATAGTGTAATGTCTTTTGATGTTTATCAAACACAAATGTGGTGGATCAGGCTGGGGTTGCGCAATGAGTCTGGAAAATAACTGACCATTAACCCAGTTTGCAAGACCAAGAAAGAAGTTCCAGAAAAAGTTTTCTAATTTAAGTATTATTTTGCTTCTGCTTCATATTATGAATTGGGTACATTCACAGCATCTGCTACAACAAACTATGCTTTAACTATTACAGTTCTGGTGAAACCACAGTATTTTCTGCCTATTCTGCAGAGAAACCCAGGCAACAGTCATTTTGCTTCAGTAGAAACTACCAAATGAGGTATAAAATAGGTAGATATTTCACCCTCTCTGTACTCTTGCAAGTCCTTTGTGCTGAGTTTGTTTTTCCAAATATGTCTTGGATTTTTTTGCCCTGCTTTTATTTTTCCCCATTGGAAATGAATCTGTAAACTAGCTGGCCTGCAATATTGCATTCTTGCTTACAAAAAATGTGAACATGTTGAAGTGCATGAATATGCATGAACTGCATATTTTTTTTCTAGGAAAGGAGAGAGTTTTTTAAAAAATTGGGTGTATATAGGTTCAGGTTCATAGACATGAATGAAACAAGTGATGTTCCTGTATCCCAGCTAAAGACCTTCTAGGATGTAGCGCCTAAGAAGGCAGGGAGCAACCATTTGATGACAGGTACTGATGTGATATGATGAAGTGATAAATGGTCAGTGTTGTCCAGACTTGAAAATCAGCATTTAAAACAGATTTTCCAAGTTTGGCTCTCTCTTGATGGCAACAGGAGCTTCAACATAGCTGTAGAACAGGAGGGGAGGGTGGCTTCTCTGTGTTCCCTGTTGATTTGTCATGTCCTTTGGCCTGAATTGTTGAAGGAACTTCTGACAACTGAAACTCTCAGGCTGCCTTTGGCAACACTTACAGAGCTCAAGGAAAGGGCTGAGAGTAGGGCTACCACTTTACATGCTTGAGTTTGTAACATCTGGCAAGTCTAAGCTGAAGGCTTTGTGCTGAACTTGAGTACTGAAGCTATGAAGTTCAGTCACTCTTGAGACAAATACAGTAATATATAATACTTACAGTTGAGTTCTCCTTTGTCTTCATTTGGTTGGACATCTGTTGAAACAAACACTATTTTAAGCATGTAGTATAGATAACTATAGTCTTTAGCTAAATGGGATCAGTATTAAGCAACATCCACTAAGTTGAGGATTCAATGTGTTAAATGATCTTTGGACAGCAAAATGCAAACCATACTCTATTTGTCTACAACATAGGTCACCATTTCAGCAAGGATAGATTTTGGGCTTGAAGCAACAGCCCCATTCCATGTTTTGGGACAGAGTCCTGGCACCACTCTTGGGTTGCTTCTGAAGGAAGGACATGGTTCCTAGCACAGCTGCTGGAAATGCTGGGCAAGATCACTACTCTGCTTTCTTCTGCCCTTTTCTGAAGCACCTGGGCTTGCTAGCCATGAGGAAGAGGGCATGGATTGAAAATGTGGTTCGTCCTTGTTCATGAAAAGTGTGATTGCCCCTGCTCCCTTTTCTTTGCAGGCATACAAGAGCTAACATCAAAGTGGCTTACAACAAGTACTCAGATACATCAGCAGACTCAGTCTGGTGCATAAGATGTTTTTCAGAGCTCCCTTGTGTTCTGTCATGCCAAGCATTGAAGAGTCCCACACATGGGCAAATACAGCAATATGAGGGTATGCCTGTATAACATGGAGTGACAGTGAGACATGCTTTATTTCTTCTAACTTGTAGAAAACTGCTTGATCCCAGTGGGATCTTGAACCCTTAATTGTCCAGCCAGTGACTCTAAAGCTCTTGGGATTGATTTATTCTCTAATTTCTGTGTTGGACTGTGCCAAGTAGAGCAAGCTACTGACCCCAGTCCTGCTCTATGGAGGAGTACCCCCTCCATCTGTCCAGAAGTGACCTGTAGAGATCACAGCTGGGAAACTATGGCCCGAACAGGCACAAAGTCTGAGTTGTTATTGCATCCAGCAGTTAACTCCTGTGAGGCTCAGGTGCAATAGCAGAAAACCATAAAGAATAACATGTCCTGGGGCACAACATGTCCTCCCCAGAGCACATCAGGTTATTGATAACAGCATGATTTCCTGCTGTTGAATGCAGACAGCTTACTTGTACTTTCTACCAATGTGCTGGATGACATTAAATATTCTGGTAAATGAAAAGGAATTCTTCACATTGGGTCATGTAAATAAAGGGCCTCGTTACCTGTGTAGGACACTAGTTTAGAGGATCTCCTTCTCCACAGCCAGCAGGTTAAAACAGCTAGAAGACCTATCAGAATGACAACAGAAATGATGCCAGCTGCTTGAGCACCTTGTCCATTTTTTTCCAGGTTTTTTTGACTTTCTGTGCTAGAACCATTGCTTTGCTTCTGCTGTGTGTCTAGAATAAAACAGAAGAAGAATATAAAAAGGTGTGAATTTTCACATTTCCTACCAGGCAAATATTTGATCACATTTTGCATGCACAAAAAAATTCAGAAGGACTAAGTATTTGTGCTATTCATATTACACTGATTCTGGTGCTATTCCTTCTCAGCAAGGCACATCTCCAGCTTACACTGTTTAATAATACAATGCCAGTATATTCTTCCCTGTCGTACTGCATGCATCTGTCTGCTTTTCCCATTATTCTTCCATGTCAGACTTGGGAGACTGTATGTTTGAGTTTGTATATAGATTCAATTGAAAATAAAACTATAGAGAATCTATAAGATAAATCTGATGGTATTCAGAAAAGTGGGTGAAAACCTGTTACTCTGAAGTTAATGATGAATGTCCACTGACTGCTGCAAATTGAAGGTTTCAGATCAACCTCTTACTATTTCAAGTGTAGTAATGCTTTTAAAAACCAACAGAAGATAGTAAGATGAATGTCTTTTCCCCCAGAATACAATATGACAGAACACCAATAGGAAACTAACGACAAGGTTACTTAGTTTAATTTGGGATGACAGCAAGGGTACGCTATAATATAAACATTCTGCTGTTATAAACAAACTCTTGTTGTGTTGGTGTGCTCAACTTTTGTTCCTGGAAATAGTTTATATCATTTGGCTATGTTTGTGGGATCAGTGTCACTAAACCCAGAGTATGTGATTCCTTGGCATGTTCAGGTAAACTAACTGTGAGCATGCAGCTACAGTTACTGAAACAATCAAACCTCCTTGCACCAGGGTGTAGAAACCTGGGAGAGAAAGGTGTGGAGGGAGGCAGGACCAGGAATAGCAATGCAACTGAACAGCCACTTCCAGATGAGCTCTCCCACTTCAGCTAGCTTCTCTACACAGTTGTTTGGAAATCATGAAATGGTACTATAACATTCTAATTTTTTTTTTTTTAAATAGCTTTCTGTTTTTGTGAAGAGTGGATAAATACTTGTTTTTACTATTGATCATTCAGCAGTAAATAGCATATTATACTTGTGTGATTAGGTGTATTGTTCTACTGGGCTAATATTACCTGTTTGCTACAGGTCTACTTTAAAGAGTGCACTGTATTAAATTGAGTTTTGGAGACTGAAAACAGAACTTTGAAATTAGGCAGAGTAAAAAGCAAATGTCAGTGCTGCAAAGCAGTTGGGTAGGGGTTCAGGAATTGTGGATCTGCTCTATGGTGTCCCATGAAAAATAACCTGACTACCCAAGTCATCGTGCTTACGAGGAACCAAAGGATAAAGCTCAATGACTGCCTCAGATGCAAGAGCTGCTCAGTGCCATGGTTATAATATGCTTGATGGGGTGTTGACTTCAGTGTGGGAGAAGTGAACATAAAGTCTATGGCTAAGCTCTTCAAAACCTGAGCTCTTCTCAGCACTTTTTGGAGCTACTGAATTAATGTGTACGCCTCGTTAGTGTGTATCTACAGACAAAGGCACACAGGTTGATATTCCTGCTATCTAGAAAACATGAAGTAGCATGAAGGGACTTACAGTTGGCTGATAGATTTTCCTGCAGTATTTTATTTTCTACGGAGCACTCTATTTGCATGTTAGAAGTGGCTTTAACCTTCAGCGTGCTAAAAACACTGTAAGTGCCATCATCGTGGGGAGTGATCTTTAGTTCTGATGGAGGCAGGTGGCTGTTGTCTGTTTTATTTATCCAATAAACATTGGGCTCTGGGTATCCATTGCCGGACCTGCAGCTGAAAGTCACCTCCTCACCAGTGCTGTCACTGTTTCTTATTGGTCCGCTGAGTATTGGTTGGCTATAACTAGCTGGAAAGCAAGAGAAAAAGAAAGTCATCAACATGTTGAAATGTATTGAAAAGATAAGATTTTGGCATGAGTTCTGAAGCGAAAGTCCTGGGTTTCACATGACCCTCATGACTTGAAAGGGAAACACCTGTAAGCTAGAGAGATGAGAGAATTACTGGAAGAGCAGAAAGCTGAAGCCAAACCTGAAGTAAGAAAGCAACTTCTTAAGATGTTATCACCCAGGCGTGTGCAACAGCCCTTGTATTAATGGAAAACAAGTTGAAAAATACCTATACTGGATAAACAGCTGTTACAGGCATTCCAGTTTTAGATGTCCTATTTGTAACATATAAATTAAGCAGACTTAATTTCAGCAAAGTGCTGATGTATGTTTCAAAGATAAGGGCATGCTTAAATGTAATATTGAAATGGCATGAATTTGAAAAGCTGGAATAAGAATGCGGGCAAATACGTGCAAGTGATAAAAGTTCTTACCTGCTAAACTGAGAACCACTTCTGCTTGGTGAACCATTTTGGTATATTCCGTTTTCTGCATTACTACACATTTGTATGTATGTTTATCACTCTGGCTGACGTTTAGCAGTAGCAGTGAAAAATCACCATTTTCCAATCTATCCCAGAATAATTGAGTCCTGTTTTTAAAGTGAATACATTGTTCACTTTCATTGTCTTGACCGGAGATCAGTGCATGTACCACTGAACACTCTTCTTGATCATCAGCTATTTGCCAATATACCCGCAGATTTTTTAAATACAATTCTCTTCCTCGATATATGCAGCTCAGTGTAGCATTGTCTCCAAGCTTACTGACAATGACCTCCTCCAGTGCGATAACTACAAGATAAAAGGAGAGAGAGGAAAAAAAGGGAGGTTAAGTTGAGAAAAATTTTCATTCTTTTCAAGTATATTCTACCACATGTGGACTCCGCTATTTGTATTTATAACAGCCAGGTGAGTGTGCCCACTTTATAGTCATTCCTATCTCCTGACTTGCTGGTGACTAAGTCTCTGTGTGTCTGCTTGTCTGTATGTTTTCTGAAGGGTTCTTTTACAGTATAAAGCCTTCTGTTTATTTCTTTCTCTGAGGACCAACTGGTCTAAGTGATCCCAGCCCCAAGGATGTGCTTCACTTTGCAGTCAGTCCCAGTCAGTGGGCAGACACATTCAAATCCTTATGCTTTAATAATAACTTATTTTTTCAGTGAAGAGAAATGCCAAATAACACCAGGTAAATCACAAGTGGAAACACTGATAAGAAAAAAGAGTGCTACCATTATTCTGAGACCACAAAAAATTTAAAAAAAGAGTAAACCAATGTTTCTCAAAGTGGATATGCCATAGCAATCACATTCTGTTGCTACCATTGGTGTCACCCTCTCAACATATCCAGCTGACAGAGCAGAATGCCTAGATACCTCCAATGTAAGAGGTTATAAATTAGTCATTTATAACCTCTTACAGCCCCTTGAGGTAGGCTGGCACAGCATCTGGCTTTCAGGGCACTTTTCCTGGCCTCTAGACATGAGAAAGGCAGCCTCTCCTCCTGGTGAGCAATAAGAAGGTGTGAGGTGGCTGACAAGTGGATGCAGAAGGTATAGTCAGCTTTTCCCAAAGGACCAGGGCAGCTTTGACCACAGCCTCCCTGCTGAGAGGGATGTATCACCTCTCCTCCACCCCAGCAGCTGAAACCTCTCTGGTGCAAATGGTTGCTGAGATCAAAGCAGTGTCCATGTTGTAAATGTCGGACAGGGGGGTGAGGGGGTTGGATGAAGACATTACAGTTGGGGGAAGGGATTATGTAGGTGGGTGGATTAGGGAAAGGAAAATGATAGGAGTGAGGTGTGGAAACGGTGCATGGTGAGGTAGGATGGAGGTGGCAATATTAAAGGGGGATATGTCTTTGTGTTGGTGCACTGCACTCAGAGATAGCTCATTTACATATCTGAGTTTGGCACCCTGGCTTAAAAATACCACTGAAGCAAACGCAGTGCTTTCAGGGAGAAAGACTGTATGTTCTCCAGGCTGGGTGAGGCAATAAGTAACAGGCTTGAACTGCAACAAGGAGGCTGTGGCTTGAACTTTGGGAAACCCCTTGTAGTGGCAGGGAAAGTGATGCTTTGGAAAGCATTGCCTGGGCAGACAAGGGCACCATTTAGGAACATGACAGCTGGCACCTATTGAAACTGAATTTGGTACAGTTTGTCCTGATTTGGGGGCTGCAGACTTTCCTTGATGACTTTGTTAAGGTCCTTCTCAGTGATTAAGCAAGAACAGAGGAGAGACAACTCTGAAAACATTTAAGTATCACCAAGTGATGTCTTTTACCCTTACCTTTGTTTTGAAAAGTATTTTCGGAATGGTAGTAAAAGACTTACTAATACTAGGTACTTGATACAGTGATGTATAATTCTAGTGATAATATGAGTTTGGACTTTATCCAGGTATGTTAGATCTCATCAGCAGCCATGATCATCCCACTTCTAAGGCCTTTTGTTGGCAGATAAATACACAGGGATGTCTATGAAGTAAACAGAGCAATGTGAGCAAGAGCCTCCATAACGTCCCTTGCTATTCTTCCTACCGAAACTGATAGAAGCTGGTATTTTCTTCTTTCCCTGATGCATGTCAGAGAAACACTTCCCACTGATGAACTTTTAAGTGTTCTGCTGAAAACATGAAGATGTTTATATTGTACATATTACAACTACTTTGTGTATTTGGCCAAACACATTAAAGTGAGGGCAGCTTCATTTTTAACTGAAGTATTCTGAACTTACCAGCTCTCAGGATATGAAGGAGCAGTAACAGAAATCCATAGCTAAAATAAAAAGCAAACAAGAGTGTTACATAATTGGCTTTAGCATCTCTGTTGTTTAAATAAGCAATAAACCTAATATTGATTGTTTTAGTATAGCAGCAGAAGTAGGTAAATTAGGTACTGCTTCTATGTAATGTCTCATTAGGTATTTGCATTTTTTACAGCTGAAAAACTTCTGTTCAAATGATGTAACTCTGTGGGTGGGTGGCCCAGGCCACAAATAGCAGTAAAACACACTAATATTGGAATCAGAGCAGAAGGCATGAAGCTGGTGTTGTGCCTGTCTTTCTTGTGAAAAATGAACCGTATAGATTTACTGGACAAATAGGCCATGAAGAGTTATGTGGATCACTGGGAAGGAGCATGGTTGCCCAGGCCTAAAACAGGTCAAAGCCCTGCATCCTACTGTTTCACTGAACCTCAATGAATTATGGTTTTATCTGCTTAAAGGACAAAAAGCAGCTGACCATGCTGCCCACCAGTTTGTGCACTCGGTAAAAATGTGTAAACAGGAAATGTGCTGATAGCAGGAATCAGTGCAAAACTTTTTCAAGAAAGAATGTGGTGTGTTTGATTACCCTGGAGAGGCTAACAGGAGTTTCCCAAGGGAGTTACACCTGCAGAATGCTATAGGAAAACCCAGTTTAACCTATCCAGATGATTTAACTCCCATCCCATAGGGCTTTAAGAAAAATAAATGTGCAGCACTAACAGTTACTTTAAAATAGCCTTTGACCACCATGCCCAGGTATACATTGTGCTCTCCTTCCTCCAGACTGCTGTGGGAAAGGAAAGAAGACACCAGAAAGATTCTGAAATGAGAGCTCTGTGGCTGCAGTGCACACCTTGATATTGCCCCAAGTGCAATAAGGTTGCAGAGCTGAGCCAGTGGGCACAGGGACACGAGCACCAGCTCATCCCCAGTTTCCCCAGCTCACCTCTGCAAGCAAGCAGAACTGTGAGGCCACGCTATCTGGATGCACCTGGCTCCCTTCCTCGGTTGTTCTCAACCCTCAGCACTGAGCCAAGGGCTGGGGCAATGGGGAGAGCTGCCCCCAGTAGCCCATGTCCAGCCAGGAATGAACTCCAGGGTTTCCCACCCAGGCCGCTCACTGCCTTCCCTCCAAACCAGCACTGACCTGCCTGTTTACCCTCCAAGCCCTAAGCTAAGATCACTCCCCCAGCAGCCATTTCTCACCTCACTTTTCCCCATTATCTGTGCTTTACAATATTCCCTCTCTCTTCCAGGCTTCCTGTCCTTTCCCCACAGCTCCTTCCCCTTTGTCCAGTCAAGCAACAGCATTCACCTGCCACCTCCCAGGCACAGCATTGCTTTTGTCTGGGTTTTCACCCACCAGCTGCCTGGGCACAACTTTGGTCTCCTCTGCTGTGGAGGAGGATCTCTAATTCTCACCTGGCCCCAAGGAAATTATGATCTTCTCAAACATATTTGGCTTCCCATGGAGAAAGCAGAGGACCTTCCTGACACAAAATCTACCTCCACTTGAAGCCCCATCTCCAGAGAATAAGATGGGGAAAGTTTAGGAAAGGGTCAGTCTGAGTCATATTACTTTTATATGAAGAAAACACTTTTCTTTTTCTGTGTCTTTTGACATGGTTTCATAGATAACTTTTGCAAAAAAGTTTAAGTGGATGCCCACTGTGGAACATTAATACTTTAATACTTATTTCAGTAAATTTGCAATCAGCCCTAAAGTAAGTCTCCCAAGTAGGTGTATCTAAACATTCCAGGGAGGCTGCTCTGCTCTGTTCTGTCTCTGAGTGACTTCTGGTGGCTTTTGCACATGGTCTTGTATTGTATTTCGGAGGTATTTTTATACTGTTCAGGAGCCATCACTTCTGTGCCAGGCTTGTAGCAGTCTGTCATAACAACCTCACCTTAATGTAGTTCTTAATCCCATGGCTGTGTTTGTTTTATTGTTCCCCACCCAAGTTAGAAACTATGGATAGAACCAATCACTTGAATTAAATGGAGAACAAAATTTGACTGATCTGTACGGGACTCTTTAGGGAATTTCCCATGGCAGGCATTTGCCAATGACAACAAACATTTAGATAGTCAGCCAGAACTGATTCCCTAACGCACATACACAAATCCGATCTTGACTTCTTATTTTAATAAATGATGTCACAGTCAAGGTTGGACAGATCTAGAGATGCTCATCCTCTTACTTGGGGGATGTTGCAGTTGTGGTAGCTGGGGTCAGTGTCAACCCACCACGTTCCCCTGGAAGAGCTCTAATGCCAAGCTCCCGTTGGAAAAGGGGAGAAGCACTCTTGCCTGCAGAGAAACCTCCTTTTTGCCTCGTATGTATGCTCAGTTCCTGTGTCCACCACTGGCAGTAAGCTCCACTAAGCGCAGATGTAGCTGTAGTAGTTCCTTGAGTTCTCTCCTTTATTTATTCTTTTAAAAACATTTTACATTGAAAATATTTTTTTTTTCTTTTTCAATTTTTTCCCACACCTCCCCCATCTATACGTCATGTGAAACGGGAGAAAGTTGCACTTCCTCTTTTGTACATTCTTGTTTGGTGAGATTATTCTTCCTACCAGAATCTCAATTTTTTCATGGACTAGTTACTTCAGAGCCATGGGATGTTGCTGTTCTGCCACAAACTAGCCAGGCAAAAGATGTCCCAATGCTTGCAGTAACAACTTCGGGGCTTTTGCTACTCTGCTAAGATTTGCTTTATCCCCCAACCTTGTAGCGACGCCGCTCCTCTCGCACCAGCAGGTGCCCCGAACCGGCTGCCGTTAAGAAAAGCTGCACAGACAATCTGGGCAATGAAAACCAGTGGGCCTGCTTGCCTTCTCCCATCATTCCCAGTTCGGGCCAAAAGGCTCCTGAAAATGCTAACTGCCTGCAGTTTCGATAGAGTGGATCACGGACGAGGGGGGGGCGGCGCGGGGTTCTGCCTGAACTGACCCACTATGCCGGGGTCAGCCCGGCCCCGGAGGCGGCTTTGCAAAACCCGCCTCACCGGCGGCTACGGCCCCCGGGGCGAGTTGGCTGCCCCGTGCCGGCAGGCAGTAGCCACCGGGCACGTTGAATGCCGCAACCCGTGGTGCGGGAGTCGGGAGGGGACCCCGTGCACCGACTCCCCTCTGTCTCTAGTCAGGAAGCCCACCGCCGTCCGAACTCTTCCCGCCCGCTGCGTTGCAATGAAACTCAGTTTTTTTTTTAACGGGGGGGCAGGGGTGTGTCTACCTGCGCCCCCGATCAAGCAGCCGGCCTGTGCCCCTCGCGCCCCAGCGGTACGCGGCG